ACCGTTTTCTATAGCTATAGTTGTTTATGATCAAGTTCGAAAATACAGGATACGTCTAAATCCTGGTGGATGGGTTGAACGTGAGACATATTATTAGTTATAGAACGTTATTTTTCAAAATCAAACTGTCCTATTTTGTTTGTAATATAGCGACGATCTGTGACTTTTAATGTATTTTTTTAATTTACCATCTGTGCACGTCTCTCTGTTATATAGGCATTGTGTGCTTATTCAAATGCGCAGTTGATATGAAATATCTTAGCATTTGATTTCATGTAATCATATAGTCATACTTCAAGTGAAATAATTACTCGTGGTTTTCTCACCCCTCACATAGTATACTCCAAAAATTTATTTTCTTTTTTTTAACTTTCCCTTATGTGATCTGCTATCCTGTATTTTTTCTTCAAAATATAATAAATGGCTAACACGATTCTATACACATTTACATGATAAAATCTCGCAGTTTTTCGCATAATATCTGTAGGCAATATATATCAAATCGTTAATAACTCGAACCACATTTTGTGACTAACATGATGACGATACATATGGTATATGCATTACGACTTATTGTTTTGGAGTGCTCCCACAAGATGATGACATCTTCATCTCTATTTCTTATGAAACATTTATGTTGTGTGTGCATTAATGAAAGAGGAAAGGAAGAAAAACAACTAAGATATGCCGAATTATGGCAACAATCTGTTCTTGTGGCAAATATGTTGTCGGATAAAACAAAACTGAATAACCAAGAACAACCGTTACCGCATATTATATTATGTTATCCATTTGGCTTAGATTTTATTGTTTCATATGTTGGATGCTTATTAGCAAATACGATTGCCGTACCAGTCTATCCGCCAAATCCAGGATCAATAAAACAATCATTATTGAAATTAAACAAAGTTGTTGATAATTGCAAGCCAATTCTAGCACCAACTAATTCGACATTCAATCGTTACAGAAGATTCAATTCAATAATACAAAAATGGCCTAAAACTTTACAATGGCTTTGCACAGATACATATATCGAACAGAATACTAAACATATAAATGAGTTATTCTTGAATAAATTACCTGGCTTATCAAATGATAAATCCCAAATAGCATTTATTCAGTATACAAGTGGTTCAACAGGTGATCCAAAAGGTGTTTGTATATCCTATACAAATTTTCAACTAAATAGATAAAGAAACCAGCGGATGCTTGAATCATACCAATTTGTCCGTAGGTCATTGAAATTAATCTAAAGATAACAATTGTTTACCAAAAGAAGTCAATAATATTTTTCACACTACTTTGTTCTCCTGTCCTGATTTAAATTTGGAATAGTTTTCTTATGAAGG